GTGGAGGTGGCTCTTCTATGTTGTGACATACGTTTATGAAGTGGCTGTTTGGTCTCTCCAATGTAGAGGTCTGGGCATTCCTCACTGCACTGTACAGCAAACACCACATTGTTAAGTTTGTGTTTAGGAGTTTTGGGACTCTCCACCATTTGACCTTAGAACTGAAGAAGCTTCTCGGATGAGAGGTGAAATGTCTTCAAGCAACTTAAAGAAGTCCAGACGCTTTTCTTTCCAAGCTCCTTAGATTACGATGACCTGGATGACTGAGAACCTTCACAGAGATAACAGTTCATAGCACCATCATGTTCTGAAGCTACTGCATTGGTTGAATGACCACTATTTAGATAGCCAAAGATAGTAACCAACACAGGACCATAAATCCTGCATAAACTTTGGAAAGGCTTGTTCAAACCCACTCCCCATGAACTGGTTAAAAAGTTCAGTAAATAAATGGAATTCTAAAACATAATTTAGACTCTGGTCCTTATGGCGGAAAGACTTCCCCTAAAGGTTTCTAGTCCCTGGAGAAAGATCATGTTAAGGCCTTGATTGTTAATTTGGAGGTAAGAAAAAAAAAACAACCTTGGCAAACTGTAGGTCAGTGAGGGCTCGGACGTAGAAGTCTGGTATGTACTGCTGCATGGGGATGCTGTTGTTGAGCTGACTGTTGCTGCCGCTGACCGAAAGTGACTCCATCCGGTCGGCTCCGCTCATCGAGGCTGTTCGGTTCAAGCCGCTGATATGGGATGGTGAACGAAACTCTGCAAACACCCACACACACGCAGGAAAGGTTAATAGCACCAGGTCCTGTTACGCATTTAAAGACAGGGTTGTGTGATAAACACCTATCGGGCCAACCATGCCGCTGGTTGGGCCTGATGTTACTGTTTCAAAGCCTTTGATGGTGGAGACCTCAGAGGCACAAGATGCAGTGTAGCTTCAAATGCAGGTTAATATAAAGAATAATTAACGAGTGAGAGTGATTAGTGACACACAATGTGTAATGGATGCACAGCAATAGCAGCAGTAACACCTAAAAAGAAATAAAGTTAAACCTATGAAAGTAAAGGAGAAAAAAGGTAGTTAATATTTAGGTATTTAATGCACCGAAGCAAAGACGTGCATCCTGCTGTGCTCAAAGCCAACAACATCTAAAAGTTTTCCAAGAGCACCATCAAACTTATTAACTTATTAAGAGAGCTGAAAGCAATATTTGACGCTGTAATCTGTTAAACATAAGTGTGAGTCAATGTTTAAATATGTGTCACATTTTCAAATGATAACTCGCAACACACTGCTGAAAACCTCAAATTTTACTGTTCACTAGTTAGTCAACAATTGTAAAACTTTCCAGGTGGAAATTTCCTGGACAAAACTTTCCCACATTCAATTTTTGATAGAAGAAAGGTTTCTGTGTTTAGAATAATTAATATTTCTGTGTGACATATTAAAAAAATGACTGGACTTCTTTAATTTTGTTGAAGACAGTTCATCCAAGAAGCTTCTTCAGTTCTAAGAGCAACTGGTTGAGAGTCACAGAAATTTAAGTCCTATTGAAAAATGTAAAAGATTTGACTTAGAATGAAAGAAAACTGAGAAAAACATAAAATACTCCCAGACAGAGCTAATCAATAATAAACTAATGGATTAAATGACACATTATTTCAACTTAAGAGCATATGACGTATAGAGTTACATACAATAACCTCCACGGAACTCTATAAAGTGACACATAATAACAATCATAATGAAACCAGTACAGCTTAGCCATTAGTTCAGCTCAGTTTAGCTCTAGATGGCCATAACATGCAGCATGCACCTCCCACTTCCCTCAGACTTGTTATGTTCACCCTCTGCTCGCTCATAGTGTAATCACAATGACGACATTCACAGACGTCATCCAGCTGATGATACTCCTGGATGTGTCACACACGCGCTTCACACGCAAGCTCATCACCAGATGTGTTTTATTACCAGTTGGCGTGAGTCTTCCAGTAGGGGGCCTCAGTGAGTCATAGGAAACGGTTTTACCTAGACATGTCAAGTGTGTTAGCTTTCAAGAAATTAAGCTCTAAAGTTAATCCTGGTTGTCTATGGCTACTTTTTAAGTTAGTGGTTAGATGTCACTTCATCAGGAAACAATAATTGTCTAAAATAATCATTTTAAGATCCAGTAGGGAACCTTTCTTTAGTTGTATCCTGTCAACTTATTATGCAGCCACAACTGAAAACGACACTCAACCACTCACAAGTTAGCATCCTATTTAATTTCAAATCTTTCTTTACATATAAAAGTACCTTTTAAAAAAAGACATTATCCCATTGATCTGTGAGAATTATGAATTCTCAACTTGCATCATCTTAGTTCTGTGAAACTGTCATGTAACAATGAAGGAGTGGATCTGATTATCTCAAGGGAGAGGAATGATAAAGCATATCCGGCTTTATTGTCTAATTTTTTCTAAATACATCATGATGGTTTTTTCTAAAAGTCATCCTAATGTATTAAATTACACTTGAAAATGAAACAGGAAGCTCATAAGGAAAGTGTTTAATGAGGTCATAAGTTTCTCCCCCATACATATGCTCTCTGCTAGCTAAAAACGCGAGTGCTAAAGATAGCGATACCCAGGCCCTCCCTGCAAAGACACAATTGAAAGCCTAAATGGGAAAAGTATGAAGCCTAGCACATACATAGTTTTACAACCATTTCAGAGGTGTGGGGGCAGGGATATCTCTCTACTCATTATTACTCATTTAATGACATAAGTAAGTGTCATTTTTAACATTTTTCTTGACTTACTGTGTTCAAAATGTGCTCAGTAGTAGGATGAACAGAGCCACTCTTTAGTCTGGATTGAGTTATTAACGATGCTTTGATGTTATAAAACTGTGCCCATGTGTACTTAAAACATAAGAAAGTTTTAAACCTTATTGTGAGATCTGGTCACTGTGTCAAACCCCCCAAAAAGTCTCCTACTGGATCTTTGAGAACAAAACTACCCTCTACCTGTGAAGTAGTGCTCGCACAGTGAGTCGGTGCTTTTAACAGTAAGGCAGACTGTGATTGGACCAAATTCTAAATAACAATCACCATACACCAATTTTAATTTTTTTCTTACTGTGCTTTAAAAACACTACAGTCTATTACAGCTCTTAATATTATTTAGTCTATTTGAAACGAGTGTTTTCGTGACATCGTCAGGTCAAGGACAACAAAAAGAGCTGAATTAAAAGGCTCACATGCTGCATCTTAATAGCTCCACATTCTCCATTGAAAACAGTACGTCCAGATGAAGAGAATCGATCTTTTTGGGAGCTCATTGTGTTTTTTTTTCTTTTTTTAAATTGCATTAGCAGTTATACTTAAAAACTAATGCGATGCCAACAGAAGACAACCCCATCTGAAGCTGTCAGGAGCAGAGTCTGCAAAGAGCAGACAGCTTAACCCCCGAGGGGATTCATGTCCCTTCTGTGCATCTCATGATGTTGTCCCGTCCTTCTGAGTTTTATTTTAGATATGCCACGTGATCGTGTTATTCCCCCCGCATTCCCCCCCCAGTTTAAGATGTGTGCTGACATTCTGGTTGATAAACTCTTTGATCAACTTTCATTATTTCAAAAAATTCGACAGACGCCAGTGTCACACTTGCATCGCCTCGGTGCTTCTATGAATCAACGAATGTGCAAAATTAGCTTACTGTACAGACCAAAATCCTTCTTTTTCTCTAACCACCAAGTCACATTATTCCACATCTCCATCATCCGTCTCCAAGTCTCTCCAATCTAGTTTTAAACACTCTAAACATACTTTACATGGATAACAGCCTAAAGCAAACTATCCAAAAACGTTTTTGAAAACACCCTTAAAGACACTTTTGAGACTAATAAAGGTAATTTGGGATTATTTTACACTTCATATAATTGAAATAACTGATGCTGCTTTTTGAAAGCCGAGCCTATTCAAATATTTAGGGGTTAAAAATGAGCTATGGCTAATATTTGGTGTAGAGGTTGTCAAAAGGTAAGTTATTGCCATTTTGGTTACACATGTGACTGTGACTAAACAAAGCTATGAGTACTAAAAAAGTACTTTTTTTTTCTTTTAAATGAACCTTCTTGGCCAAACATGTGTAACACTCTAAAAATACTGGTAGTCGCTCGTGCTGTCCCTTAGCCTCCGAGTAGATCAATAAGATTAATAACTTAATTTAAACAGAGATTAAGTTTTTACAATGAAGTCAATTTAAATTAATGCTGGCCTACATTAAGAAAACACTGATTTATCATCTTCTTCTTTCCTCCTGCTCATTTACTGTCCAAAATTGTAACAATAAAATGCAGACGTAGTTTGATCTGCTATGATGGAGGTTGCTTTGGTTGATCAAAGAGTTTCTTTGCCAAAAAGTAGCTGTTATCCTCTAAATCTTTGCTCTCCTTAAAGGGCAAATCCGCCTTGAATCACACAGAGAAGAAAGCTAACGCTGTACTTCTGATCTGTGGGCTGAAACCTCAACGTGCTGCACCTTTGGGCACTCAAATGGCGATGTGAGGACAGGTGAGCAAAAACTACAAGACTGTATATAAAAGTCTTATCTGTGATCTATTATTTAAACCCACAAAGAGCACTGCCGTGAGAATTTCTCTTCTCTTAGTGATCCGGCATCAATTCGCCCAACATGTACAACAGAGTCAAAGCTAGTGCCCCCCCCCTCTACTCAAGCTCTACCCATCCACCCAGTGCCCCATGTGTCCTTTGTGTTAAAGGACCCAGACATGCCGGCGTTTACCTGGCAACCGAGAGAACAGAGAAAACCTCTTAAAGGAGAGGCGACGAGGACGATGTGCAGCCACTGGGAGAGGAGAGAAGGAAGGAAAGAAGGATAGAGGAGGTAATATTGATGAGGAGAGACAGAGGGGGCAGAGGAATGAAGGCGAGGGAGGGACAGTCAGTGAGAGACAGATCTGCTTCCAGTCTGGACAAGGACATGCAAAACCGGGAGAAACTCTGCTCCACTGAAAGAATCACCACACGTCGGGTTACACCGTTTGCAGGTGAAGTGAAATTTTCAGGTTCTCGTTACTCAGCTTCTTCTGAAAGTCTGATTGATCAGAAATTTGATGAAATGAGTGACAGAAGATGACAAAGGAAAATAAGAAAATACAAGCATTTCACATGTTTCACCATCTGAGGCACTTGAGAGAGTAAACCACTTATTCTGAATATGGAACTGAAAGGAAATACAGAGGAGAAATCAGATTATTTATGTCAGATTAGATGCTGATTCATTGTGATTTAATGTGGCAATGTTAGACACACTGAAACTCAATCACCGCTCTGGGGTTTTCACAGCCTACACTATGTGGATGAAAGTATTGGGCCATGCCTCTGAGTATTTCACTCTCAGCTGTAAGTGGTATTACCAAAATAGAAGATAAAGGAACCACAGCAAATCAGCCACAAAGTGGCAGACCACATGACGCTGCGGCGCAGCATTAGTGTGTACGTGCTGCTGCTCTGCTGACTCAATAACCACACAGTTCCCATATTTCTCTGGCATTAACATCAGCACAAAAGCTGAACACTTCCTATAGGTGTAATGTTTAGGTAGCCTTTAGCTTTTGTCCATACAGTCTCCCTGCAATGGTGATCAGACAGAATTGGAGCTTAACGTTTATTCACATGCCAATTTGAGCACCAAAAAGCTTTTATCTATTAGAATCAGTTAGGGCACGGTCATCATGAAAATCTTATGTCAGATCATCAGAGCAGAACTAATGAATACAACAATGTTTGAAAACAGTGTTTATTTTTATTTTATAGAGCTTCTTAATAATACTAAGTACTAAATAATAAAAAATTATAAATCAAACCCGGCATTAATTTGCTGCTCACATTTGACACTTTACAGTAATCAATAGCTGTCAATACTTTTGAGCGTCATGATAAATATACTCAAATTCAAAACATGACTAAAAATAATCAAGGCTATGCTTTTTGCAGGATACAGGGAGGAGGTAGAGCTGAAAGGGTGTTCTGCTCCAATACTTTCATAATGCCAGTGTGTGTTCATGTGTGTGCAGGGATATATAATATATGTATATTTATATATGTATATATATGATGATTTTAGAAAGCTGACAGATTCTCTTTCACAACTTTTTATTGTTGGGAATGAAAACGAAAGACTTTTAGTTCTTCATTTTTTAAATCATACTAACACAGTACTAACACAGTGATATCTCTTCATCTGGGTCCCAATATATTAACAGAGTTATGGGGGGAAAAAAAGTATAACATTAAATGATAATTCATTTCATATCAGAATGAATTTATTTCTTTAGTCCTTAAAGCATATTACCAGCTAATTTCTTTTATCTAAGTTTTATAAATGTACATTTTTGGTTATATTGCTTTTCTGCTAAACACATTGAAAAAGCTCAGTTTGAACCCGTTCAGCCTCGCAGTATTTTAGATTGAGTGTATTTATCCTGGATTATGTAAAAAGGGTTCTGATAAGTTGTCTAGAGAGATTTTTGATGCAACGTCCCACATCTGTCAGATCAAGCTGCTATCAGGCTGATATCTTGTCTGACCCGAGCATCGAAGGTGAGCACACCGAGATTTTCCCCGCAGATACTGAACAGATGTGCTGCAAA